GTTGATAGCACACCTTGTGCTATGTTAAGGCCAGTATGCAGCTCTCAAGAAATGCAAAAAGTCCATATAAAATGACGTACAAGAAATTAATAAGAAATTTAGTTGTCTAAAATTTTCTTTAGTCAGTACGCAGTTCTTGAGAAATTTGATAAGCTTTCTACTACGGGTTTCTAAAGTTTTTTTGTGAAAAAAGAGCACAAGGCAACCCATGCTTGCAACAGGCTGGTGAAGTATCAGTTGTCAAAATTCCTTGGACACACACGAAATAATGGCGACTTTTTTCTTGACCGTTTTCCTGAGAGCTACATACCAGCCTTTATAATGGTTCGTTCAAAACCTTTTTGCAAAACTTACAAAGGCAAAAGAGAATAAAAAAATTTCCCGCAGTGAATTTTGAGAGCTATATATGTATAGTATTCATCACAAAATTGTACTAAAAAGTACTGCGTAGTAAGAAAGTATATTGTAAACGAAATTGTATCAAAAAAGTACAATTGTTCCAAAAATGCCAACACTGATCAATACATCGGGAACACCTAAAGTATACTGACCTTTGAGATAGAGAAAAAAGTGGGCGTGGCCCGCCCCCTTTTCCGGATTTTAACGGCATTTTTTTTGGTGCAAATTGAACGGGGCGGCGATAGGGGGGGCTAAACGTGGTATTTTCAACATTCTCAAAAGCTTATATTTCGAAAACTATTGAACCGATTTTCTAAATATGGACACAGTTGGAAAGGTGATTGAAGGGCCTTTCATTCGATATATATATATCTATGTATATAATGTATTCACATTGCGAGAAAAGGTAAAAAACGAAATTACGGTAATTTTTTTTATAAAAATGTATGTTTTTCTTTAAAAAAATACGTAATTAACAGATATGTTTATCAGAAAGAGCACAAAAATACCGTTCATTTGATATATGACTTGTAGCAAACAATTTTTGTGGATATCATATTTGACTAAATATATAGTTTTCTATGAAAAGGAAAAGCGCCGCAGGCGAAAATTTGGAATAAAAAATGGCGCGATAGAAAATCTTAAGGCTGATTCAAATACAACTTTCTTCGCTTTGCTTGATAGTTCCTTGCTTTGACATATAAGATCGATGTAGGCATATACATGAGTATGCTCACATAAAAAACGTTTGAAGCAAAGCAAAGCAAAATCTTGGGCAACTCTCAACTTTTGCCCGCTTTGGCAATTGTATCTTTTCTCGTGCGCTTGCATTTGCATTTAATGACAAAAATAGGGTAAATAGGAAATTTTATTGCTATTATTAACGCATATTATTATATTGTTATCTATTTTACAGAGAAAATATACGGAAGAAAAGGAGAACGTAAAAGCTGTCAAAGCGTTTATTGTAGCATACCTTCTGCGTTTCACGCTTTGTTGTCAAAGTTTGAACTGTCAAGCAAAGCGAGGAAAGTTGTATGTGAATGGCCCTTTACTCTCTCTAGTTTTTACAAAAATTGAATGAAAATTAAAAAAATACTAAAGAAATATATAAACATTTTTTTTTTAAAACGAATGACGGTAACCAAACACCCCACACGCGCAGCTCAGCACTTCATACAACTCAACATAAAGAAGATGGTAATACAACACCTTACACGCGCAACCAAAAAGCTGGACAACAAATTCCAGAGCAGCGACTGGCGTTTCCGTGGGAAACGCCTAATCAGCAAAATACCTGTCACGTTGACAGCACTCGGGCTTAACTTTTAGGTTTAGCTTTAGAATTAAGAGAATTTGTAAAATTAGTTGTTAAACTCATATCAACAAATAAAGACCGGTCTCGTCCGGAACAATTTTTTTTGTAACCTACCGAGCCGGGTAGTTTAACTTATATTCTAGGCCCGCGATTGCAGTGAAATTTTTGCACAATATACTCTAAACTCTTAATTTTAAGTTCCAAAAAGAAAAAAATTGGTCTTTCCAATTTTGACAGTCGCTATCGATTTTTTTCTCACCTTTAAGCCTTGAGTAAATAGCTATTACCATATAAGCTTGTGTGAGTGATAGCTTTTTTATGTTAATTAATGAATACAAGTGCGTGCATTATTTAACGTATAACTTGAAACATCCATCTTTATTTACAACTTATGTTTATTTACAACTTGAGAAAAAAATCGGTAGCGACTGTCAAAATTGGAAAGACCAATTTTTTTTTTTGGAACTTAAAAACAAGAGTTTAGAGTATATTGTGCCAAAAATTTCACTGCAATCGCGGGCCTGGAATATATAAATAATTGCAATTGTTTAAATTATTGTTATTAAAGAATTAATTGTTTTGCAAATTTTATTCTGCAAATCTTTCTATTGTAAAGGGAAAAGCTTCAGCAACTCTCAAAAAACATTTCATCAAATTTCATCAAATGGGTCGCGACTTACGAATTTTTCTCAAAAATTGCAATATTCTTATAATACCAAAAAAACAAAAACGTAGTGCAATTTCGAAATACCGTCCAAAGTGTATTTTTGTTCTATAATTATCTACAGATTTCCACAATTATCTTTACTTTCCAGAAAATCAATGAAAATTCATTGACACAGTTGGCGTGGTTTGACTCATTGTTTTTACTTCTGCTTTAGTAAATTTTTTTAAGGGTGGGTCCATTTGTTGAGTACAACCCAGGGTAATGTTGACTTTATTTGTAGTCTCGGGTCGGGGTTAAAATTTGTACGGTGTGAAAACCGTTTTTAGATAGCTCGCAAATGTGTTAGCCTTTTCTAAATCACTTTTTGCCCATTCACTGTTTTCCTTTCTTATTGCCGATTCTTTCAGGGTGGGTCTCCTCAATTTGCCAGCTGCTTTCCAGAGAGAATAAAAAAATTTTGGTAAAATTAAATATTAAGGATATATCTTGTTTGGATATTACCAATATATTGTTAGAAGATGATGCATTGATAAAAAATATTCATTCAATTGATTGGTACTCATTTAAATAATCATTAATTATTTTTCAATTGTCATATGAGGCCATGATGGCCCCGAGGAGCCTATCTACAAAAAAAAGTAATATGAGAAAGAAGGCTCTATAAAAAATAAATGCGGTATTTTACTAAAAAGTTCATTGCGCCTACGTGATGCTAGTACATGCTATAGTAAAAGGAAAATTAAAAGGGCATGCCACGGGCTATTAGCGTTTCGATTCTAGTAATGCATTTTAAGGAGCACTTCAACTTTTGTTGAAATGTCAGTAGGAGTAGCCCTACGCTCATGGCCTCATATTATAGTTAGTGTGTTATTGTTCCAATGAATAAAATAATTTTTTTAACGATATTTCATTGTGTCCTCTTTTCCATTGTAAATAAGTTGCTTACTGTATACACACTTCCCTGCAAGAACAGTGACTATCATTTAACAAATCATTTGAGTGGCAAGACTGATTGAGATTTCTGTCACTGGCTACCTACAAGTTTCTATCAAATTCTAAAGGGCAGTGTGAAAAATCTGATATAACCATTTGTGTTCATGTGATCTTCCGTCTTCCTCCAGCTTAAGGCCTTATTTAATGGTCTCTTTTTAACCAACGCAAAATTTGCAAATGTGTTAGTAAGATAAATGAGAATGTGTTAGTTTCCATCACACAATTCTTGTAGGGTTTGTGCAGTTGTCAGTTGAGAGTTGCCATCTGTAATATCGTTTCGGAAACTTGCAACGCAACTGAAGTTCGGTTGCTATCGATTATATACCCATAAGTTAATCTTATCGTCCACATACTTTAAAAAATAGGGAAAAATGTTAAAAAATTTTATTTTGATGAAATTTGGTGTACCCTGCGGGTTTACTCCAACATTTTTTAGCATGGAAGATAATGAAGAGTTTCTCACTATGACACCCACCTCCATCTCTTTGGCTCTCAGTACAAAATTTCATGAATGTTTGGGGAAATTATCAAACATTTATTTTATTTGTAAAAAGTTCCCATTTCTTGCTTTTAAAACTGAAAAAATTAAAACATTTACCATATCTACATACATACCAAATTATATGAATGGTAGATATTTAAATGCACTGGAACCTGCAATTTTACCTTTATTTTAAACAATAAAAGCTGAGCTTAAGGTAAGCAGAATAATAATTAAAAATAATTAATTTAAATTACTTCCGACAAAATAAAAATTTTTTCTTACAAACTTGCTTTTTGCATTGTATCTATTTTAAGCTCGTCTCATGACCGCAAATTGGTTGGTTGGTTGGATATTTTGCTATGAATCTGCGTAAAGTTTTTTCAGAACTCACTAATCCGTTTTACTAGTTTTGGATGCTGTAGTCCTATTGTGCGGTATAAAAGGAGTAAGTCCAACACTAAAGAGTGTCACCCGCACCATGCAAACCACATATTAACATACTTCCGTCATCAGAAACACGTCGGCTTATGCACTATAAATATTTGTCGGACCCGAGTATTTCCATTTGACAGGATATACGTCACATACCCTTTTTTCTATCTAATCTTCAAAATCCTATAGGTTCCCATGACACTCGAATAAATCGTGATATAGCACCCTACTATTGGGTGAGTATTCATTAAACAAAATTGTGCTTAACAGCTGGTAAATGTACATAGCTCTTTGCCTGCGGATTTGAATTGCTTAGCTGTTATACCTTTTTGCTCTTCAGTGAAATTGAATCTGTGGTCTTACTCTGGGTGTAGTGATAGGTTGATTGCTTGGTTTCAAAAAGTGGAATGCATTATTCTTCATGAAGCTCGCTATGAGTGTCTCCATTTCAAAAGGTGGATAATGGAAAATTTTGTTGAAGCTCGCTTTCTTAAAGTACATATACGCTGCAAATTTGTATGTTTTTCATATGAAGATTTTCTATAGTTCCGATGTCTAGTTATCACGCACCAATTACTACTAACTCGTATTAACTCTTTAAAATTTGAGGTTCAAAAGTTATGTCGCAAAAGCTCAGCTTATATAGAATTAAAAACAAATCTTAAAATATGATTTTGTCTAAAACCTTTCATTTTCTTTATGCACAGCTGATATATACGATCGATCGAGCGAATCCTTGAAGGGACTTGGACTGGAGACGGAATGCCTTGGTGGTGGACGGATTGAGTATAATTCCAATTCAAAGCTTATAAAAGTTTATGGTTATTCACAGGTTTCTAATGTTAAATTTTTATTGAAAAAGAAGTATAATAAAAATATTTGCAGGGCTTTGGAAAGGCAGACCACTATAAAACCAAACAAATTTTGCAAGATAAATTTCCAGAGTATGAAATTCAGATTTCTGATGAAGGATATTAAAAGTATTGAAAGTTGTATTGTGTTATTCTTAAAAAGATGTATGTACATACATACACTCATTCAAGAAAGTTTGCATACAGAGATTTATTGCAATACAGGCATATGTTTTTTTTAATATACTACAACAAAAACCCCAAAAATCCGTTCCAAACTGTGAAAAATTAAAAAAAAAATTCTGCAGATTTTGATTATACCATTTCACTAAAAAAATAAATACCAAAAAATGAAGTTTTTTCTAATAGCGGTCGCCCCTCGGCAGGCAATGGCAAACCTCCCAGTGTATTTCTGCCATGAAAGACGAGAGTTATGACCAGGGAACGGATTTTTAGGACCTAAAAACCTATAAAAAAAGGCAAAATAAAATAACGAAATAGGCTGGAAAAGGCAAAATAAAATAGCAAAAAAAGGCCGGAAAAGGCACTAGGTATTGTAAAAAGGCAAAAAAGGCAACACAAAATAGCGAAAAAGGCAGGTATTGCAAAAAAAGCAAAATAAGGCACTAAAAAAGACAGAAAATACGAAGAACAATCAAAAAATCCATTTATTTTAGAAATGTTTATATTACAAGTAAAAAGAGAAAAACCATGAACTAGTTTCATTATATGAATCTTTGACTATTTTATCCTTCTGAGTTCGTAACTCATAAAACTTTAATCTGTATAGTTGTAGTAACATTGAACCACAAGATTTTTGAAGTTTTCTGGCAGCATTTTCATTCGATTTTCGTGACGAAAAGGCTTGAATATACTAAATGTGCCCTCGACGTAAGTTGATACAAGTGGAGCCCAATTTAAATATGGAACGTTTGAAACGTTCATATTATCAGGAATAAGGGCGTTTTCCTCGCCCTTTACAATTTTTTCCACACCCCTTATTGTCTCCAAGTCTACGTGAGCTGAGAAAACGGCTTTGAAATTTTCCAACACCAATTTGGCAAGAGCTCCCTGCGCTTCTATAAGACGCATGGGCATGTGTATATTTTTTAATCTTTAAAAAAATATTGTAAATGCTATAATCACTTTTTTAAAGGTAGAAAAGACAAAAAAAGGCAAATATCTTAAAAAAGGCAAAAAAAAAAGGCAACATCAAATGTGTATATATGGAATCAGGGAAAGCTAAATCCTGGACATTCTTAATCGAATATACTCTATCTCTTTAGCAGAAAAAAGGCAATTTCCATGTGAATGCAGGTTAGGGCCTGTGTGTATGTAGTTGGGTCCAGAGCATAGTTGATTTTTTAGGTCCAATTGTACCTTATTCGATCGTTTTTCTCCTTAAAGCTTTAGGCCCTACTCTGGTGTTTTGGTACAATTTCAACGAGTAGCAATCTCCTATCTTTCTTCTATAAAAAAAACAAATTCTGCACCACAGCACTTGAGGATAAGGCTTAATGCAAATGTTCATTTACGGCACGTATGAATGGAGTTTAGCCTTTATAGTTTGTTCATTGTGAGTACTAGCCGAAAAAGAAGAGGGTATTAAAATTTAGTTTGTTCCAGTACTTTTCGGACTAAAACCTGTGGAAATGTCAAACTACAATTTTACTCTCTCTAGAGAGAGTAACAGGAGAACAGATGCAGAAGTGTACGGGAACGCAAAAAGCACTTTTTCCAGCAGAAACGTCATTTGGTTTGTTGACTTGTCATTAGTACAAGACTGATTGGGCTGAAAGATCACTAAATAACTATTAAAATCTATATAATTAATAATAATTGCATATATATTCGAATATTTCATTATTTATTTCCATTTCTTAAGAAATGTAAGGTTATTTGCTTTCACCGCTTCTGTTTTTGTACACAAATGCAACTCTACCTATCGTTTGACACTTTTCATGAATTTGCCAGAAGAAAAACTCCGGACTAACAGCCTTATTATGTATCTCGAACGATAGGCCACACGAACGATTCGTCTGTAGGCGATATCGTCACGGATTGCAATTTTGTAACTGTCGTTCGTCTTCGTCTTGTCTTTACGTCGATTACGTTGCAATCGTCTCGGTTACGTTGTATGATGTTGCCGGATGAAATTTTGATGTACTTCCTAAGAGTTTTTCTTAGATTTCTAATATTTTCAGCTTATTTCAATGCTTTTTATTTTAAATTGGCAACATCGGAATTGCTTACATTTCGGTTTTGCTTAAAAGTGTTTTGGTTGTGTTGCGGAAAGAAATATAATTAATTAAAAAATTAATTTTTAAAAATGTATGCTGCTATAGCGCTAATGGACGCCGAGGAATCCGAAGAAAGGGAAAGGCGGATACAGAGGAGGAGATTGCGAGACCACACGAATGTAATGGAACTACCTGAGACTGAGTAAGTTCAAGATTAGCAAATAATTTTTGTATACTACAATGTATTCATTTCTAGGTTTGTTGCAAATTTCCGAATCAACAAAGAAATATTCCAATACATATTAAACGAATTAAAAGAGCACATGGCCACATCACATAGAAGCACCCACCTATCGCACCAGCTAAAACTCGCGACTTTTTAAAGATTTCTCGCCACCGGCAGTTATCAAAAATCTGTTGGTAACGAAAATATTTCGTCGATGGTGCAGTCAACTGCAGCCAACGTGATCAGGGAATGCCAAAATATTTTTGAGGACCATTTTTGCCAGAAATGGGTGAATTTTAGGAGAAACATCGATGAGGAAAATGCAGTTAAAGAATATTTCTTTGAGAAATACGGAATACCTGGGGTTATTGGTTGTGTTGATGGAACACACGTTCGTATTAAGTCGCCAGGAAGTGACAACCACCTCTTATACCTCAACCGCAAGCGTTTTTACAGTCTTAATGTAATAGCGGTAGGTTAATGATTTACTATCTTTACAAGTATACACATACACAAACTGAGTTTCCTTACAGATATGCGATCACAACATGGTAATCACATTTGTTGACGCTAGGCATCCAGGGGCGAATCATGATTCATTTGTTTGGAATAGTTGCGTTCCAGATGCTTCACGAAATTCACGATTTGCAGGAACAGCTGTTTTCCCCATTAATAAACCTTATGGGACTTCCTGTAAAAACCTGCAAATCGTGAAGCATCTGGAACGCAACTAATGTGGGTCACGCAGAACAGGAGCTAAAATCTGATTATAACAATGGAAAAACCAACACATGGCTACACGGTAAGTTTTAAAACTTAAAAAGGCTATAAAACTATTACTGACAATGAAAGTTTTTGTGGGTGATTCTGGTTACCCCTTGCAGCCATACTTGATGACGCCATTCAGAAGCACAGCCGATGAAATTCAACGAATTTACAACACAAAGCACTCGAATGCTCGTAATGTAATTGAGAGATGTTTCGGTGTTTTGAAAAACCGATTTCGATGTATAATTGGCTCGAGAGGGCTACACTATTCACCAGAAAAAGTTACACAAATTGTAAATGTGTGCTGTGCTATTCATAACGTTTGTATATTTTTCAAACATCAAATTCCATTGGAGAGCCCAGATATGGAGAATCTTGTTAGTTACGAAGAACTTGAAAACAGTAACATTTCGAATACAGCTGCCCTTATTAGAATGAGAGTAGCAGAGAGTTTGTTATAAACGCAGTTTTATTATAAAGTATGTGTGTCTAGATTTGAGGTACACCAGCAAAATTCATTTGTCTTAAAATTAATAAAATATTTACATAAAAATTCAACAAAATATCTTTTCAGTCTTAAATCCTAAATCTACATATAAACTAAGTAAATGCATCAAAATGTCAATTCACACTTAAATCTAAAAAATATTTATACAAAAAAAAAAATAAAATTTCACTTCATTACTCTCACAATAGTGGTATGAAAATTAATTCCGGAAGTACTCCAAAAATTGCAGATTCGCGTTCCACTGCAGCAGTTAATTTGTTTGTGGCATCCACCTGCAGCATTGATGCCTCTGCCATTTTTTGCAGCCTCAGCCTGCACTTTAGCGGCTTCTGCTTGGACTTTGGCAGATTCAGCCATTGTCTCTTGGAAGGTACACTTCCTATTAGTAGAACGTAACGTGTGCGTTGGTGTAGGACGGGTTGTCTGTGTAGTGGGAGTCACTACTCCCACTGGTAGTGGTTGGTTGTGCCTTATAGGAGATTTAAGGGTGGTTGTTTGTTGCTTTCGTTGGTCAAGTGTCACAAGTAAAGGAGGCATTTCCTCCAACGACGAATGTCTTGACATGTTAGAGGTCGCCGTCGAAGGAATGCCGAAAACTCTGCCGCTCGGGGCTGCTGACCTTGAAATAAAAACCAGGCTGTCTATGGCCTGCTCCATTTCGGAAAGCGGAGAGTGACGGAATGGGCCACCACCGGCAGCAGTAAGTCTTCGTGTGTTTTCGGCAATCTTCTTTTTTGTCCGGCTTTTCAAGTCAGCCCATATCTTGAAAAATTAATGGGTCGATTACGGATGGCAACACAACCACGCTTCGGTTGTCAGCTGGCAATGCAACTGGAAAGAAAATTTGTATTACGAATGGCAACTATCGTCAGTTGCTGTAGAGTTATCGATAATCGAAATTTGACAGTTCAACAACCAGCAAGCGGCTGCAAACAAGCTGTGCGAGTAAAATTAAATTATTAAAATAAAGAGTTTTAAAGAAAAGACAGAAATAAAGCTAAATAAATTATTTGTTTAGGAGGAAGAGAAATGCATGAACGCGTCCTCAATCAGGCGACACTTAAAGGATAATTCCAATCCTCTAGAGCTACCGCGTGTACTGTAAGCACAAGTAAAAAAGCTGTAGTATAATTGGTTAATAAACAGATGAACCACTTCGTTCAACTTCAATACCTCCGCTCAGAAAAGCTTGCGCACATCTTCGATTTTTCGCAGAAGGAAGTGCCACAGCAATGACTTTAATTTGGAAAACAGGGTGTGTCGGTAGTTTTAAAAGAGGTGCTTCAATTGATAAAGGAAAAAAATTGCAATCAGTGTTCGCTTTTGTTTCGCCAAAAGGGCGTTGTCCACGGGAACTAAAATTTCAAGATATTGGCCCGTAGTCATAGTCAAAATAAAGTCGACTTTAAAGTTAGTTGCAGCTTTTTGACATAATTTTCAATGGGATATCTGTCAAAAAAGCTGCAACTAACTTTAAAGTCTACTTTATTTTGACTATGACTACGGGCCATTGGTTTGTTATTTTCACCATATTCTGTAAAAGCAAACTGCATTGCAAAATGTTAATATCGTTCAAATTATTAAATATATGACACACTTCAATTTTCGCTCCTAAATACGCTCCAAAAACATTCCCAGCAACCACTAAAATGTAGTCGCCTGTATACACATTATGTAGCAACTGCAGTTGTCAGTTAAAAGTTGCCAGTTGCCATCTGTAATATCGTTTTGGCAACTAGCAACGCAACTGAAGTTCGATTGCTATCGATAATCTACCCATAAAATAAAATAAAATTCAATGTCAGTAAAATGGAAATAGTACGCAAGCATTTATCTACCACATACAATGTATGCACTTATGCTTACTTTCTTCCATTCGACGGCCGTTCTTGTAGGTGGACCATGAGAATTAATTTTCCTTATAATTTCCTCCCACCGCTCCTCTACCCTTCCTCGATCAGATCCAAACACTGCAACACCTCTGGCCAGGTCAGGATTTCTCTCCATTTCTTTTACCAGTACTTCAAATTGAGTGGTTGTAGTTTTTTTCAGCGCTACAAGCATAAATATTAATATATTTCCTTAAACCAAGTTATATTTTTTTATTTTCATACTTTTCCTGGCAGAACCCTCCATCTGAACGATCACTAATAACCTTTCGTCTGTTTTCAACGATTGTTGTCTCACTTTCGTCTTCTATTCGCCTTAAAAAATTCCAAACTAGACGAAAACTACGTAACGATCAGCTGTTTTCGTGCCGCCAGACGATTTGGACTTACATACTACCAACACACGAACGAAACGTCTAGCAGACGAAACGAACGTTCGCTTCGAGATACATGATTAGGCTGTAAATCTTTAAACTTCATTCTGGGAACAGTTGCTCAGTTACTCTCACAAGAGTGTTCCCAGATACAGAATTTTTGGCGTACGGAAACGACTTTGGACTAAATCCTGCAAAACCTGCAAATCTTAGACGTGCTGGAACGCTCTAATTGTTTTCCGTGTTTTTGTCTTTACTGCAAAGAGTAAACAGGTGCAAAGATGAAGTAACTAATTACATATATTACGTATATCAATATATTCATTTACACTGGACTTTTTAGGTAGCTTCGAAAAAGGCAAGGCGTTACCGCAGAACTCCACAGGCGAACACCGATGGCCTACCAACTGTCATTTTGACGAGCAATGTGATTGCAAGTTTTTGTGTGTGGGCACTTTGATGTCTTGAAATAAGTATTTGCCACATGACGCCACCAGACAACATTCTCTCAATTTCGGTGTTTAAAAACATTTAAATCTTAAAAAAAACTTGCTGAATAATTTCCTAAAACGTAATCATAAATAATCCAATAGGGAACAGATTTTTATTTTGATTTAATATCAAAATTTCATCGATGTTACCACCACCACGCTTTCTTTCAAATGAAAATATGGCTGTCAAACTATCGAATTGCCTGCAATAGATGTCAAGCAATAAGCGCTGACATATATTGCAGCACATGAGAAATAGGCGGTCTCCATTGGAAATATATTTATTGACATGGTTATCACGACATCAGTGTTTTTCTGTGGAGACAGGGCCTTAATACCGAGAATGATAGTCTACAGCAAGAAAGACGGAATTCTGAAGAAGTCGGGGGTGTGTTGGTAAGGCAAGCAGCATTGGATTGCATGAACCAAAAATACAAGATCATGCGGGCAGGAGAGTAGCCCGTTAGATTCGCATTAAAGAAAAAAGTTTAACGATTTTGACATTAGCCGTTTGTTTACAATTTGGTGGTGTCTTTTTACTGCAATTTTCTTCATTTTCGCCTGTGACAACGTGTGTACACATAAGGCAAAGAATAATTTAACACAATAATAATAATAATATAATAGATTGGCGCTTACACATATGTTAGTGTTTGGCCGAGCTTCTCCTCCGATTTGTGGCGTGCGCCTTGATGTTGTCACACAGAGCGGAGGGACCTACAGTTTTACACCGACTCCGAACGGCGATTGTATTTTTATGAGAAGCTGTTTTTCATGGCACAAATACACTCGGAGGTTTGCCATTGCCTGCCGAGGGACGACCGCTGTTAAGAAAAAACCTTTTCTATATTTTTTTGCGATGTTGCTTTGACCAGGCTTTGAACCCAGACGTTGCGGAGTGGAAGCGCGCACTGCTTACCACTACACCACAGCGGCCGACAACAGGGAACCATAGGGGACCTAGGTGGTCGGGGGTTGCATTTTTGTCAATGGCGGTACATTCCCTCTCCAAAAAGGTGGGTTAGAGGTGCCACGCCCACTTGCCTTTCGCCCACCGCCCCTTTAACGAACGGCCATAAAGGAAAGCCAAACCCTACCTTCAGTTTTTAAGAATCATTTTTAAATGTTTGCCTAGCAATTACGTTCAGTGCAAAAAGAAAAAATATGATACATTTTCGAAAACAGTGGAGTGAAAGATTTCCGGGCAATGTGCAAATGCAAATGTGCAATGTTCTAATTTATGGAAATTTGGCACACATTGAACGACATTCGAAAAGCAGTGGTCACATAAAGATATTTGAAAGCGCACAATCAACCCCGAAAATTCAAAGCTTTGCAACAGACAACAATATGGAGCAAGCGGCTGAAAAACAAGGAAAGGAGTTTGAAATAACATTATGTTTGTTTGTGGCAGAGCACAACTTGCCTTTCAGAAGTTTGGATCATTTGGGAAAGTGCATTAAAACAATCAGCGATTCGAAAGTAGTTTCAATAGTTTAAATAAACCGCAATAAAGGACAAAAATTTATAACTACTATTAGAGGCCCGGAAAATGTTAAAGAAATTTCTACCATAACGCAAGGCCAATATTTAGTCTGTTCCAATAGCAGTCCGGTTTACAGGATTTAGTCAGAACTTACAGGAAGTCGTTCCTATTGACATAAAACCTGTAAGTGGGAACACATTTGAGAGAGTAACTGAGCAACTGTTCCTAGTCAGAAGTTACAGGATTTAGTCCGGAGATTTTTTTCCTGTAAGTTCATGAAAAGTGTCATACGATCAGCTGATTTACATGTGCAAACAAAAACAGAAAGCGGTGAAAGCAAATAACCTTATATTTGTTAAAAAATGGAAGTAAACAACGAAATATTTAAATATGTATAGATTTTAATAATTATTTAGTGATATCTCAGCCAAATCAGTATAGTACCAATGACATGTAAACAAACCGTCTGACGTTTTTACGGGAAATAGTGCTTTTTGCGTTCCTATGCACTTCTGCATCTGTTCTCCTTTTACTCTCATTTGAGAGCGTAAAATTGTAGTTTGACAATTCCACAGGCTTTAGTCCGAAGTTCAAAGGAATAGACTAATTATTCAATTGCCATAGACGAAATGACA